AGAGGTGGCAGCTTCTATTTAAGGGGATATATAGTGCTGAATAGCCAAGGAAGATGCATCTCACATAGATGCGCCTGAAACATTAAGAGCGAAGAAGGTGGTGGTGGTGGTGAGAACATTATAGGATGGACCTCAGCAGAAGCTCACAACAGGGAGCACATCATCCATGCCAAGATTATTTTCACTATCTCAGATCATTGGCTTTTGCCTGGTCAGCGGTCTTATTGCAACTGCCCCACGTGCATTTCAGGAAAGAGACTTGCTGGAGATGTTTTCTCTTAACTAAACCAGGGACACCTGGATGCTCCTAGTGAGTAGCATGTTAGAAACATATATAATCTGCATCATCAGTCAATCATATATTTATTCATGAGGGCTTATGAGTACCTCAGCAGATTAGCCCGCCCCCTCCTCCGGCTGCATTGGAGCATGAGGGTGAGGTGCAGAAACTAAACAAGGGCTGGTCTCTTACCCTTCTTCTTCCCAAGAGCCAGCCACTAGAAACAGTGTGTGTGTGTTGGGGGTGGGGGCACTTTTCATTCCTAGATTATAAGATACTAACTGTTCTAATTCATTAGCAGCGTTACAGGGAGACAAATGGCCCATAAATCCAGGTATATCTACAACAGCTGCTTTACCTAGTAATATAAACTAAAGTGAGCTAAATTCATCCCCAGCATAACAGCACTGAAACTAATGGAGTTACTCCAGGAGTGAATTTGCCTTCATATTTATGTCAGGATTTCTTGCAGTGCCTAAGAATGCAAGTCTCCACAGCTGTTCATTTCCTTTTAAGCCTTCTGTGAGGGCTTTAACTAAGAATTGCAGGCTGTGAATATTACATTTCTGTTCAGTTCTCATTGCTTCTTCCTGTTCCTTGATTCTGTGCCACCGTGGTTCTGCCTTGTCTAAACGCTCCATATTGCTGCTGCCCACTACTAACTAACATCATCTCTCCTAGGCATTAGTAGCATCGCGGATGAGACTACAGTGCTTAGCATCAACCTCCCCCAGGTGACAAGAAGTTTCATCTGGCTGTTGTGCTGTGTGCTGCCACCTCCACTCATGTGCCATGCAGAGAGCATCGGTACCTTCCGGCCTCACTTGGCACCAGATGTTCAAGATAACTCAGCCCTACATGCTAGTACGTAGCACCCAGTGACTCCTCCTGTCATCCCGACCACCAGGTGTGAAGTTTGCTCAGTGTGAGGCCAGCCAAGTTCTTCTGGGATTGTGGTCAACTCTTGAAGTGCCTTAAGCCTTACTGGGGTGTGGTTTTTGGCTCAGCTCCAAAGAAAAGAGAGTCCTTGCAAGACCCTGAGCAGCGCCCCCCCCCCTCCCCCGCCCC